CTCTGTATTTACAAGCCTGTTTCTGTTTTGTTTATTTTGTTCTGTCGATTCCACATTTAAGTGAAATCATATGGCATTTGTCTTTCTTGTCTGACTTATTTCACTTAGCATCATACCCTCTCTAAGCATTCATGTTGTCACAAATGATGAGACTTCATTCTTTTTATGGCTGACTAGTATTCCATTGCATAAATGTATCACAGCTTTTTTATCCATTCATCTACCGATGGGCATTTGAGCTACTTCCAATGTTGGCTATTGTAAATAACTCCACAATGAACATAGAGGGGCATATACCTTTTCAAATTGGTGTTTTGGTTTCTTCAGATAATTATACAGAAGTGGAATTGCTGGGTCAGATAGTTCTATTTTAAATTTTTTTAGGTAATTCCATATTGTTTTCTACAGTAGCTGCACCAATTTTCAATCTGACCTACAGTACATAGGAGTTTCCTTTTTCCCACATTCTCACCAACACTGTTTGTTGATTTATTGATGATAGCCATTCTGATGGGTATGGGCAGTTTTAATTTGCATTTCTCTGATGATTAGTGGTGTCAAAGATCTTTTCATGTCTGTTTGCCACCTTTATGTCATCTTTGTAGAAATGTCTATTCAGTTCCTCTGCCTGTTTTTAATTGGATTGTTTGGTTGAGTTCTATGAATTATTTATAAATTTTGGATATTATCCCCTTATTGAGTGTATCATTGGCAAATATCTTCTCCCACTCAGTGGATAGTTTTTGTTGTGTTGATGATTTTCTTTGCTGTGCAAAAACTTTTCATTTTATGTAGCCCTATTTGTTTAATTTGTCTTTATTTCCTTTGTCCAAGAAGATATATCAGAAACAAATATATATTGCTAAGAGCAATGTCAGAGAGTTAAGTGCCTGTGTTTTCTTCTGAAACTTATGATTTCTAGTCTTGCATTTAAGTCCTTAGTCCATTTTTTGAGTTTACTCTTGTATATGGTATAAGAAAATGGTCTAGTTTCATTTTTTCATGTATCTGTCCAGTTTTCCCAACACCATTTATTTAAAAAACTGTCTTTATCCCATTGTATATTCTTGCTTCCTTTGTCATATATTAATTAACCATATAGGCATGGGTTTATTTCTGAGATCTCTATTCTGTTCTGCTGATATATGTCTGTTTTTATGTAAGTGTCATGCTGCTTTGATTACAGTAACATTGTAGTATAGTTTAATATCAGGTACCTCCAACTTTTTCTTCTCCCTCAAGATTGCTATGGCTATTCAGGGTCTTCTATTGTGGTTCCATATAAATTTTAGGATTATTTGTTCTAGTTTAGTGAGAGAGCTACACTTAAATCAGTAAAATAAAAACATTATAGAAATGAATTTATGAAAATAACAGAAATTTGAAAATGTGGTTTATTTTCAAAAGTACAGAACTGTCACCTAAACTCCTTTCTTTTAGCCTTGTTTGCTGCTGGTACTCTTTTGTGTCTCATTTTTTTCTATTCTCAGCGAATCTTGGATTTTTGTCATTTGGCTTGTACTGTTTCTCTAAGCTTTAACATCTCTCTACTTTTAAAGTAAAGAAAATGTATATGGACTTTGATATATAATCCCAGTTATATTTTTAAAAATTCTTCCATAATTTCCTCCACAAAAACATGATTCTTTTATTAGTGCTCCTTGAATTGTTCAGAGGATTTATTGCTATGAAAAACTATGCAGAAGATTCTATGTGCACCAATATGCAGAGATTTTATCCTCTTAAATGTTTTGCAGCATGTGGTTACTAACAGCACATTTCTTTTGAATTTGATGTCTAGGATCATTACCTTGCATTTCTGTTACAGATACCACCTATTTACCTATGCTCTTTCTACTCAGCCAATTCCATCATTTATATTTTGTCCTTTAAGTCTAGCATTCCCAACTATCATTTTATTTCATTGCACATTTCATCATGTCAATTCCTACTTTAATTCACAAGTGATCAGTCTATTTATATATTTTTAATTGTCTTTAATGCTTCTTGTAAGGTTCCACAAGATGCTTTTATAACCCACAAGTTAAAATTTTAACTATCTGAAATTTTTATTTTTTAATCTCTTCAGTATTTTTTGTTACAGTAATAAAAACACATCAAAATCTCTTGAAAGTATTATCTCCTGAAAGTGTCTGTGACCCTTTTAACAGCTTTTATTGATATGGAACACTTTTGGCAATTAAACTTCTTTGGATGTCTGTCCAAAACACACCTGCTTGATGTAGAACTTGACACCAGCAAAAGGGAATAACCATTATATTTGGTATGATGTTATATTTGGTATATTTTGGTAATTAGATAAACATAGTATTTACCTAATTATGTTTGGAATCCCAAGAAAACACATTACTTGTGATTTTTCTGTGTAGAATCTTCTCATAAATGTATCAGTATTACATTTTCCTTTCTATTTTAAAAGTTTTAAATTGTGTTATGACATTTTCCCAGTTAAAATCAAGTATAATTTCACAACAATATCAATTTCTGAGACTTTTATCATTCTGACATTTTAAACCAAGACACAAAAACAATATTACAGTTTTCCCAATTTCTAAATTTCTTTGTTCCTATGTCTTCTTTTCTGTGATTACATTTCTAGGTTACACAATGAAAAGGTAACACCAGGAGATCCTCATTAGACTGTGGACTCCTAGAGGGAAAAGATTCTGTCTTATTTATCTTTGTAACTTTGGTATCCTTTGGGAAAATAATTCTGCTAGTAATATAAAACATATTTGTCAAAATGATTTTTGAATGCATTAAATTTGTCCCACCAGTTTTTGAGCATTCTAAATTTTCTATTAAATTCACCACCATCTTTAGGTTCTTCTCATTCTGTTCTCCTGTTGCATTTTCTATCACATTTTCCATTGCAGAATCAAAGATGTTTTGCTATTTTTAATTGAACTTTATTACCCAACATATACTCAAAGTAGAAAAATTATAAAATATAAATTAAAATGTCCCTGAATTCCTCATCCAAGGGGATTTTAGTGGATATAATCAAGTCTTTTCCCTCTGCATACAAATCAAATGCAAAAAAATATGATACATGTATTTGCAAAAATTGAGACTGCATTACACATGCTACTTTGCAACAGCTGGAACATCTTTATATGTCAGTTAGGGAACAGTTATATCATCACTTTTAGTAATGGCATTTTTGTTCCACTGCAGATTTTCCTATACTTGATCTGTAAAATGGTGTATAGTGTCAGCCCATGCCTTGGAGCACACAGTAGCATTTGGTTTTTCCAGTACATAATTATAAACTTTAAAGTATCTTACAAAAAATATGGGTTTACAGTTTATTTTGATAAATCAAAACTCTGACAACTCAAAGCCAACAGCCCCAACTAGCCATCCACTAGGGTTGCCTGCAGGGTCTGCCGCACCTCTGCACAGGGTACAGGACAGCAGATTTGCCTCTGCTGTCCTGTGCCCAGCCAGCTTGACTGACCTCAGTTTCCTTTCACTGGCTTTACACCTGATTAAATAACTCCCTCTTTTAGAGGATTTTTCCCTATTCAAAAAGCCTTATGATGAAGAACCCATTTTTATTCATTCATCTCTGTACACTCCTCTGATGTTTTTTTAAGATAAGTTTCTTGTAGTGGAATTGCTGGGCCAAAGGGTATTTTTAAGTCTTGACTCATACCACCAAATTACTCTCCAAAAAGTTTTCACAGCGGTCACTATTATCATCAGAGCCTGTGAACATCTCTTTGCACCTGCTAACCCTCTTCTCCTCTGTCCATGTGGGCTACTATAGTCTACTTATGCTGTATTGATCCAGAAAGAAAGGATAAAGTGAGAACAGGCATTGTCAACAAGGGTGGGCAGATGTGGGTTATCCCACCTCATACTTGGATAAATCAGTATTTTTCTGGCAGATTGCCTACATTATAAGAATATGAGCATTCCTCCCATATTAGATGATAGTTTCTAAAACATTATTAGGTGTGGAATTTTCAGCCTATTCATTTTTATTAATAATAACACAAAACCACACTTTGCCTCAGATTCCCTGGCTACACTTTTATTCTGTTAACCTTCTCATGTAACTGAGGAAACTTAAAGAAGGACAAGCTAAGAATATTTTGTTCTTTAATCCTTTGACTTAACCCATATGATGAGTTTACTTTATGGGAAAATCCAATTTACATGTTATTTTCCTTTAAGGGAAGAGTTACGAAGCACCTGGGTCACACTGATTTCTCCACATCCTAGGCTATTACAGTAGGTCTGACAATGGGAGAGAAAACAGTGAGGGACAAGGGTTGCAACCATTGGATTCTGATTTATTTTCATACAAAAAATGGCAAGCCCCGTAATTAAACCCAGTCCCAAATCCTCAGCCTCTGAGGGACTGCGGACCCAGAGACCTTTCGTGTGCCGCTCCACACGCATCCCTCTCAGATTCATCTCTGTACCTACAGATGGTGTCCAATACATATTTATTAAAGCCAAAAAATTTCACAGTTTAATAAATTAGTTATCTTAAAAGGAAAAATTTTCTGGTATTTTACCCAAGTTTCCTCTTAATGATATTTACATCCATACTTGCTCATGTGCCCAATCAATTCTGAATTTCATTACAAAAGACTTTAGCCTTGAAATAACAAAAGAAAGGGTGTGTGAGAGGTGATGTTCTTTAGTTTTAAAAACACTTTCGAGTTAATCATTAATATGCTCAAATTGTTTCATCAGCTATATGTATATACAAATATATCTTTTACAAACACACACACAAATATATATAAAATCACTTAAGTCATAGGCAGAGCTTTTACAATAAATTCCCAATTTATTATAATTTTACAATATATTGTTAATATATAGTTTTTATAACTTTATATTAATAATACAATATATTTTTAATATATTATAAAAGGACTTTCACAATATATTCCCAGCTTTTTGCTTATAGGGCTATTGGTAGTAAATTGTTGGAATTAAGAAATAAATAGCTTGACATATCACATATTTAGAAAAATTCTTAAAGAGAGGAAACTCTCGATTGGCAAAAACATATATTGGGGAGGGGAGGTGACTATAGTTCTTCTTCCTGAATAAAATCTTGGAAACCATGCTGACTTCCAAATTTCAAGTGTGGCAACTGAGGAGACTAGTTTCTTTTCTACTGTTAAGAAGATGTTGATGACAGATACCCATATCAGCATACACTGTAGCATTATCACCAATGAAACTTTTTCCCTAAGAAAAACAGAAATAGATATAAGCTAGGGTTACTTTCTACATCATATTTTGAATCATGAATTTTTTCAGGTGACCAAACTAAAGGACAGAAGATGGTAAGCTATTTGCCATGTAATCCATTTCATTTAAAGGATCACTAGCTATATTTAATGACATCCAAAAATAACCCTTCAGTTGCTGAAATACTAGGCTTGGAAAGCAGGCCAGGGAGCAGGAAGGTTATTCTAGTTTTATTTCATTTTCTTGAAGGGCAAAGGCAGCTTCTCATTCACAGCAAGAAACTGACCCTAAAGCTACAGAAGGGAAAAAACTATTCCAGATCTGTGGAATCCTGAGTGGACGATTGCTATCTATCCACAGTAGTAGCAAAATGTCTCCTTCTATAAACATTCAAGGTAGAGCCTCTGCTTCTCATGCAGCTAGAAACTGTAGTGGTTATTAATTCATCTAAATAATGTGAAGGAGTTTTGTGTAGCAAAGTATAAGCAGACCAGGCACGTGATTTTGCACAAACAGTTCTTAGTGATTACATAAATGCATGCCTTTCAAAGGATCTGGACTCACCAGGGACCTATTTTGTTGAACATGTGCAACAACCATTGTAATTGGGCCTTTTTATTCAACAGTAACTCAAGCATATTAACATCGTCAAACTGCACGAGAACATAGAGTGCTGAAACTTTCTCCTATTTTTTATCTTAATTTAGCATATTAGTATATAATTTTTTCTTTTTGTTTCAGGTCCAAAAATACCCACCCAGATAACATCTGTCAAAAAGCTGCCTTTAGTAAGTAGGTAGCTATTGCACAGTTGGGTGGTTTAGCTGGAGTACTTATTCTCACTTCTAACCAGTGAGGTCTCTGGCTTACTCTTGTGGAGCCCATTCAGCCACATTGAGGTGGTAGCTGAATCTCAGCATCAGTTATTAGCAGTGGGACACAATATAGAGACATGGTTTGTCACAGTGTGTCATATCAGAATCACCTATAGTACTTTGTCAAGCTGCACCTACAGAAGTCTGTCACTGGAGATTTGTACTGCTTCCCCTTGCAGGTGGGAATGGGAGAGAAACTACAGTTTCTACCAGTTGAAAATCGGTGCCACAATGAGCCACATCTGTTGACTGTGACTATGTGGTTTCCTTTAGGTGTGTATGTTGGCAAAGAAGTTGAGAACTACTCTTCTAAATTCCACCCACACAAAGATATATTTACAGCTCTGTCCCTCTTCAAGCACCATGCCTCCTATACGTCAAAATGTTGTTAAATGAGTAAATCAGTGCATAAGTAAATGCATGCTTTCACCATAAATGGAAAACATAAACATTTGATATACAGTTTAATTCTTAAAATTGTCATGAGTCAGGTAATTTTACAATAAACACTGTTTTTAAACAAAACTATCTAAACTCTCCATCAAGGAGCTAGTAAAGTGAACATGAATTCTTTGACCTCTCAATTAAATGAGAACTAAATTTAATCATCAAAGGTTGGGGGAATAAGATAGCTGTTCTTTCCACCCTTCCTGAAGCCCCCAAGTTTTCTAAAGCAAGGGTAGATCCACTGAAGAGAAATCAACTCAGAAGATCCTCAGATGTGACTCTTTCTTTAAAAAAAGACTTCATTTATTTATTTTTAGAGAGTGGAGAAAGGAAAGGAGAAAGAGAGGGAGAGAAACATCAATGTGTGGTTGCCTCTTGTGCACCCCATACTGGGGGTCTGGCCCACAACTCAAGCATGTACCTTGACTGGGAATCGAACCAGCAACCCTTTAGTTCACGGGCCCATGCTCGATCCACTGAGTTACACCAGCCAGGGCATAAGTGACCCTTTAATAGATCCACAATTGCTCTAGAAAATCTGGGGTTCCAGGAAGAGTGGAAAGGACTACTATCCTTCTACCATCCATGCGCCCTCTACCAGCTGCCATAATTCTTCAGCTCAATTTTCAGCCTTTAATTAAACTAATCAGAAGTCAACATGGCTAAAGGTGCAAGTTGTTTCTCATGTCTGAAACAGCTAGCTGCCCCCACACTTGGTGTTCCTCTTTTCCGTAGTATAAGCTGCTGCTGAGAAGTGGCTGCCCAGCCAGAGACTACATTCCCTAGCTCTCCTTGCATCCAGGTGGAGCCAATGTGGCTAGTTCTTGCCAATGGGCTGTCAACTTAAGTGAGATGGGTCACTTCTGAGCCAAGACATGTGAAGAAGTGAATATTTCTTCTCCTCACTCCTTTTCTCTTTTGCCAGCTGGATACAAAACAGATGGTAGGAGATGATAGACCCACAAGACAGAAGAAGCCTGGATCCTTGAATCATTCCATGGGCACAGAAGAAAGGCATTTCTGATCAGGAAGACACTGACTGGCTCCTTACATAAATAAGAAATTAACCTGTTTTCTGTTCATCCACTGAAATTTAGAGACTTGCTTATAACAGCAGCATAAATGATTCTGATGAGTGCGCCAGCCCCTCACCATGAGCGCGTGTCATGCTTCAGCAGTAACAACCTGTGTGCAATTTCCCGGGCTGACCAAGCATTTTCATTCTTTCATGTGTTTATACACACCGATCCTTCTGCTTGTAACACTGAATTTTCTCTGCCTATTCATTCACCTCTCCAGCCCTTTGTCCTTGATCAACTTGTATTAATCCTTAAAACCCAGCTTCTAAGCTTCTGTGGAGCATTATTCTGTCAATGGGCTCCATTCCTGCCATGTACTTCCCTAGTTTGTACATAATTCCACTTTTGCATGTCACAATATTTTAGAATTCTCTGTTTATAAATATGCCAACCTTACAACATACATATTTGTCAGGTTTCTATACTCTAAAGCTCCTAGCAGAATGGTGCTACAAGAGATGATTTATGACTATATGCTAGGTTTCTGCCTAATTAGGACTTTGTTTATTTTAAATTAATCTGATCCATGGAGGATTAGACACAGAATCTGCTAACTACTGGAATACGAAGACAGCAATGAAGGGAAGGAATCTTAGTGTATGCTGCTAATTACTCACTGAATGAGTATGAGCAATGCAGCCTTACAAATAAGACAACAAGAGAAAAACATATGCATTTCCATAAATTTCTAAACTTAACAAATGTTTAAGGGAAACACAGATCCTGATATAAGGCCAAAACCTGATAGCCTAGGTTAAGACAAATGGTTCATCATAAAAACTTTATGGCATATATGCATTGTTTGTGCTTTATATAAGTGGATTTTATTCTAAAAGGTATAATCTCATTTTTTGCTGAAACTTTTCTGAGCATTAAATGAGATAATAAATATAAAAACATCTAGAGTAGGGCCTGGAATATATTGAGTATTCAATGAATGTTGGTTAAATGCACCTACAGAATAATGTCACTAAGCAAAGACAATAACCTTTGAAGTCGAATATGCGTGGTTTTAAATCCTCAGAGTTGACCTGTGTATTTCATTCTTTCATTTTGTTCTTGAGGAAGGGATACATGGAAGGAGGATATGAAACACTGTGGACAGCCAGAGGCATTAGCAGGTGAGGAAGTCTACTCACAAACTTCTCTGTGCCCTTCACTTGATGCAAATTTGAGGCAGTTGGTGTTTCAATTTACAAAAAGAATCTCTTGTTGAATTTTTCTTTTTAAATTATATTTTATTCTCGTGACTAGTTTTATGCTGGTCCCCATGAAATGTACATTATTAAAAAAATACAAACCTCATTTGATAAGCCTATTACCTTATGTTCATGGCTGCCAGCTTTATTCTATTGAATTCAAATTCGCCTGTGGCAGTGCTTCGCATCTAATTTGTGACTTTCACAAGGTGAACCTTGCATCATTTTCCCTTGCCTCTGCTTGCATTTATCTAAATGAAAACAGTTTCTCTTAATGCATAGGTTTGCTTGATAAGCCATTAATACCACAGATGAGCCCTGAAATGCTCATAAAAGGAAACATCACAATAAATATTTATTGTTGTTTCACCAAGACACACAAACCCTGTATATTTTAATATGGCTGGCTACTTGGTTTCTCTTTTAATAGAGCTTATTTGCTTGATTTCATTTTCTCAAATAATTGCTCTTCCTCTGAAGGTTATGTGAGGGGTATGGGTGGTTGAAAAGGAGGAAGGGATATGGAAATACGTGAGAGTGAGGTGTGTGGAACATTTAAACTGACTAGAAGACTGAAATGAAATGAGGGTCAAGTATTTTGTGTTTAAATAGATGAACTTGTGTGGAATTTATCTAACTCAGAAAAATCATCTGCATTAAACACAGCGTCTCATAAACACAGCTTCAAGAAAAACAAACAATTTTAGGCTAACATAATTTCACAGAGAATAATTCTCAGAGGGAAAAATGAATCATGGGGAAACTAGTGGTGTTTTCTTTAGCTTCTATGTCCTTTATGGTTGATGTCCCATATATTTTAAAATAGTATTTACATTCCAAATGACAAGCAATATTTGCTCAATTTTGAAAAAATCCTTAAGAGCTATTTAAAATAATACATTTCACTAAAGAACATGCAATGAATTCATTGTCAGAATGCTGCAAAGGGCACCTCACTAGACAAATCCCTGTAGTCCAGAGCTCAGGATCTCATGGAAAGCCACACATCAACATGCCAGGGACACAAAGGGAGGTAAGTCAGCCTAGTGGGGCTACCAGGGGGCTTTCTTGGCTGAGGCCATGTTTGAAGTGGATTTAGAGAATGTGAGGATACATAGGAGTAGTGAGTACAAAGGATAAAGTGCAGAAAAGAAATTCTATCAGAGGGTAAAACAGGAATTAAGTGTCCCAGACATGACAGAGCAACATGGGCAAGGGAATTTGCAACTATTTCTATATTGCTGGAACATGTTTGAACTTCCCTTCCTGAATGACATTATTTTTAGGATTTGTATCTTTTTCCACTACTAGTTCTTTACCTAAAGGTTTACTTAGTCATATCATGAATTTTTTTTAACACATATAACTTTGAGAATGGAGGCATGGCGTACTTGTGT